GACCAGTAGAAGATATAAAAAAAAAACTCTGACTAGAACAACTATAAATTGAGTGAAATACAATGCTTCTCAGCTTCACTTCGCCATTCACACAGCTCGAGCTCAGAAAAACATAAAATTTTTCAAGCTTTGAGTGACTGATAAAGATTACAAACTGGATGAAATTGCAGACAGCAAAAAAAAAAAATGGCGTCTGTCATATCACATGACCGATGAGAAGTAGCCGTTTTGCTGAATGTGCTCCGGGTGTTAGTTTATCTACTGCACTATCAAACTCCCTTCACATGAAGATTGAAAGTATGACTGCTACTGTGTTGCTCAATGAAATACGAGTGAAGTTCAAGAAGGTCGAACCAAAAACCATCTCCACTTTACCCTCCATATTAAAGGTCAACTTAGTCCAGATGCAGAAAGCAGATAATAACAGTGCTCGATTGTGGTTTTATTGACAGTCAAAGCATTGTGAACATTGACAACAAGTCATTGTGAATGACACGTCCCCGTTGCATTCATATTTGAGTGACATGTACATTGAAAGCAGATCATGACCGAAATCTCAGACCACTGAAAGTGGTCTGATCCGAAATGCACCTGCATATGTACAACACATTGTATGATGTGTGTGAAGTGTGGTCTTGATCTGTCCATGCATGTCCAAGATATGGATCGAAAACTAAATTCTTTAAAAGAAAATGGCTGCCAGTCAGCCATTTTGAACTTGATCCGAAGAAAAATGTGGAGGATGCGACTTTGGTTAACAGCTGTTTGACAAGCCCGATATACATCGGTATTGTGCATATTTTGAAATATATTTTCTTATATGTCTGTGTTTATTTTTGAAGTACCTTATTACACTCGAACGAGAATATTTCTGTTTGTTGCTTTTTGAGTTCCACTTGTGTGTCATACAGTCGGGTGAGGGCGCTACAAAATACTCCCTTGCCAGTATTGAATTATTTTTAATTCGCGTACAGTGAGTTTAGTCTGGCAAAGTCTGGACTTTTTTTGAAGTTATAGAGCACATAATGAATTTTCACTGTAATTATAAATTGCTTCAAATTTAATTCAATTTTCCTCTTCATCAATAATATCCAACATGCACAAATACACAAATAATAATCATTCAAAGACAGACACCAAATGAATTATTCACACTTTATTTATATTAATACTAAATTTTATGTAAATAAATATTTGTAAAGTATTTCATCTTGATACATGAGATTTTTGAGTATTGTTTACAATCACCACTGTAAATAATGTTAACCATTACATTAGTACCGACAGATATTTCTACAAGTTGATGGCACTTTGTAAATTTCACAAAATTTAGTACGACTTCCTTTCTAAAAAAAATATCAGTTACAACAGGCTATTTACACTTACTGCAGCAAAATTTGTTAAGGCTTGAAATATGTGCAAAAATTAAAAAATGTTATCATACAAAAAAGTTCTTATCCTCGGGGGCGGACATCCGGGCATGTTCACAGCTTGGCAACCCTCACGGTGAAAACAAAGACCAAAAACTCGCAGAACGGTACTTTGGGATGGTTGTTGAGACTCCCCTGAACAGTGTAACATGATTAGCCCTACGTGTGTAACATATGTAAATTTGGTTGTTCAGGATTACTTCAAAGTTGAGTTTGTGTTGTTTTCTCGAATTTTCACCGGCTCGACCGGTGTTCCACAGCAGCGCGCACAGAGCCCATAGAAATGCATGTACAGTGGTGTGCGTCTTAGCAACGTGGAATGTCTTGTGACGTAGCTCCGCCCTCGAGGATAACTTATTTTGATGTATACTTCCATCTTAATGTTCTGTCAATACCACTATCTTGAATATTATTCCTCTGTCAATCACTGTATTTTTATATATATTCAATGTGTGGAATGTCCAGGTTGATTGATTTATTTCCAAACCAATTTTGAAAACTTCTTAAAATTTTACATGTAACCGAGGGTTTAGAAGGATGCAGGTTTGTAAAAATTATGAAAAAAATGATTAGTACTGTACCTAATATCATTCATATAGCCACAGACACCTCTGTCTAATTGATTGGTAAATAAGCAATTCCGGTAATTTTTTTCAAATCAGTGCATAGATATTGTTTCTCAATTTAAAATTGTCATTAAATTAATGATTTTCAGAAAAAAGTGCATGGTGACATAAAAACCTGTATATTTTTTTAGATTTAACATCAAATTTATGTATATTTATTAATGAAATGTATTTGATAGGAGATATCACATTGACTGAAAAGTACACTTGACCACCACTTGGTGGCGCTCTTTAAATTAAAACAGTTTGGAATCTACATGTAAGTATGAACATACGAGTACTTGAAATATCAAAGCTTTTACAGAAATAAGGTTTCTAACAATTCTAACTTTCTTGATAATATATAACTTCTTATTGTCTTCTTTCTGTTAAGTGTATGTAGGTTCTTTATGATTAAAACAGGAAAAAGCTTCCAAGCCGGTTCTTTTGTTGACCCTTATAAAAAATAATCTAACACGTGGGAAAACACATCAGTGACATCCATAGCGCATGTCACTTCTGAAACACAAAGAATAATGACATCACTTGAGCTGAAACACAAAGAATGATGACATCACTTTGTACTGAAACGCAAAGAATAATGACATCACTTGAGCTGAAACACAAAGAATGATGACATCACTTTGTACTGAAACACAAAGAATGACATCACTTTGTATTGAGACAAAAAGAATGATGACCTCACTTGGATCGAAAAACAAAGAATGATGACTTTACATTGAACAAATAAACAAATTATATTATAAAAAGCATACAATAAAAAAATGAAATTGTGCATCAAAGCATATTATTTAGTCATATCATCAGATTCCTACATTATCCCAATACTTAGTTTCAACTCGTACATTTCTTTTGGTACTTAGACGGTATACTTCTACCACGGGGGCCACGAGGGCGTCGATGTGATGACAATGTGGGATTTTTGGCTTCCTACAGATGAAGCAAAATTAAGGTAGAAAAAAAATTTACATAACAATTACAATAATGTTTCTTACCAATAAGTTTTTTTCAATGATTGTGGAAAAAGCAAAAATTATTAATTCATCTTTGTTTTAAGGATTATTTCCATGGTGATACTATGGTAAACTGCAAGTATACAGCAAATTTTCATGACAGTAGCAACCACAATATTTTGTAGGTCTAAAATTTCACTGGGATCCTAACGGCAGTCACAGTGACTTTCATTAAATTTAAAGTCATAAATGTCATTCAAAAAGTGACTGAGCTTACACAATGTCTACTTAAATTATTAGCAAAACTGAGAAATATTTACCATTACAATATTCTTTACAGGAAATCAAGTTTAATTTAAACTACAAAAATAATGAGTTTGGTACATTGAACCTGATTGGTTAAACAGTTACTAAGTTATGACTGGGGAACCAATAAGACGTAATCTTACAAGTTATATTCAGTTTAAATCATAAAATCATGTAACATGTTCATAATCAGTAGATGCAAAACATCAATTTGACTGTCGATATGGCAATAAGTAACAAACAAACTAACCTGTTCAAATGATACTCCTTTTTCAAATTCAGACTTTAGGTGATAGCCTGCACCTGCCAAGGTCATGAAAGGCTTGGGCCCCACAGTGGGTTTTGGTTTTGGTGCCAGTGGTGGTTTTTTCAGTTTAGGCAAAACTGGTGGAGTCTTTGTTGAATTTTTTGCACTTGTGCTGACTGGTTTGGCAATGAATGCTGGTGGTTTAATAGTGAATGATGATGGTTTCTTAGCAACAGTTATTTTCTCATCATCACTGGATGACCAATCACTGTCATTGTCACTGGCATCCGTCTCTGTAGAAATAAATAATAAAAATGTACAATGGAGTAATAAAACAAAAACTGGAATTGAGTCCCAAGTGATGATAACAACACACGCTAAAATGCAAAGGCTCATGGGAAGATGATTGTTTGTAAACAATGACACACTATATCCATGCGTAGGTGACGACTTCCTCGCTTTAAGTGTTGAATGTCAAAGTACTCACTCATCAGCGGGTCCTCTATGAACTGCTCCTCATTTGATGTTTTACCAACACAATCCACATCAAGAGATGTCAGCTCAGGTAACACATCCCCAGCATCTCTGACTTTGTCTCTATTCTTGGTAATTTGCAGAGATTTCAACATGCTTCCTGTGTCATAAAATTTGTATTCAAAAGTGGATTCCTTTGGTTTAGTCCTTATTGTTACAGGAGTCTCAGGCTTTGACATAGGGTCCACAAATTTAAAAGTGTCAGAAAATGTGACTGACTTTTGTGGTAATGCCTGCAGTTTTTGCTGGAGTTGAGTTAACTATTAATAAGAAAGAAACAAAAGCATGTCAGTCTCAATGTTACATAGTGGGATATATCAGAAATTCAAGAAACCATGGTCAAATATACTGTACAAAAGAGCCAAAGTTCTCAGTATGTCAACAACCCACCTGTAACTATGTATTACAAAGTTAGCAGTCTATCCTAACCCATGTGTACCCATGTATCCCAAGGTCTGATATATCGATCATAACCGATGTCTCCCAAGGTCTGAGTGTAGCACAACCCATGTGTACCCAGTCTTCTAGGGTACCCATTGTAACCTATTCCATGTGCACCTATGACTCCCATTGTTCCAGTTTATCAAAACCCATGTGTGCTCAATCTCCTAATATCCCCAGTGCAACCTAATCCATGTATGCCCATGACTCCCGAGGTCCCAGTGCATCAAAACCCATATGTGTATTCCAAATATTACAAGGACCCTTGTATCCTAGCCCATTTGTACCCATATCTCAAAAGGTTCTTAGCATATCCTAGTAAAAGTCCCATGTATACCCATTTTTTCCAAGTCTCCATAAGATATGTGTAATATATCTACAAAAGTCCTCAATGTATCATAACACATGGATTGTATGGTCTCCAACAAACACGATATCCTATATTCAAATATACATGTTCTAGCCTATCCTATTGTATTTTATGTTCCATATCTATATTACACATACTATGGATTCCAACCCATAAAGTAAATTTCTGAAGTTGCATTCCACTAATCCACTCTGAAAATCTTGAAGTTCCTCAGTGAAATGCCATTTACTGTGAATTGCTTAGAAGCTAATCTCAACTAAGTTTTCATATTTAATTTTACCTCATGTTGCAGCATCTGTGATTTCATCTCTGCCTCTCTGGCTCTCTGATCCGCTATTTGCAGTAACTCATTGTGAATTTTGCTGGATACCATCTCTGCTCTAATTTATTCAAATATGCAAACAATAAAAGAAAGGAGATTTATAAAAATGTACTGTACAGCTGCATATCAGCTGCATATCAGCTGCATATGTCTGAAAATGACTGAAGTCATATAGACAGGGTTCTACATTTTATTGTTACTGAATGGAAATATAGTGCGATTATAGCAGTAATATATGCACGCCATCACAATGATTCATTGGTTCTGTTGCCTGGGCAACCATTAACGGTACTACATACTACAAGGTACATACATTTCAAAAACATACAACTTTCCCAAGGTTGAAAATTTTTCTGCTTATCGCAATTCTGAGTAAGTCGATTCACAATTCAAATTTCATGACACAAACATATAATCTACTTTATCTTAATCTGAAATTTAAACTGTTTTTTTTTTTTCAAGAGAGACTTTTTTTTCGTAAATTTGCATGATAGGAAAGTAAAATTTTGCAGTGAAGATGTCACAGTAACTATGGCAACACATTATTTGCCTTATTGCCCTCAAATTAGCATATCATGAATATTGATAGCGATGAAAGTTACACACACGTACACATGAAAAACGTAAACAAGTGCATCCTATAACCACTGATTCCAAAAACTTCTAAATTCTTACTTTTCACGATTCACATTGGCAAGTTTGTCTAAAAGTTGATTGACCTCCCCTTGTGAGTTCAGTAATTCTGTTTGTAAAACTGAAATAACAAAACAAAGAAATGCATTACCAAGAAGTCATGCATTGAACACTAGTCACGTAAAGCTGTAATGGCGTAATATCTGAAACAAAACAACGTTACTGTCACCGCCATATTGTTTCCAATACCAAAACATCATCATTGCCAGCTAAGTTGCTGACTGGTTTGTTATGCGTGTCTCGAGATTGTTACATGCTTAGAACCGGTTATTTCAAACCACTTTTACGAAGATGCGTCATTCAGCTAAAATGACACACCATTGCCTATGTCCAGACATTTCACACTGTGTAAATATATACCTTTGCCATTTATAATTGAAAAGCAATTGCATCATGATCTCCTATTTATATGTCTGAGTTCTATTAGTTTGACATCTCCTGTTGAGGCTGGTTTGACCAAACTTGTTCTAATCACATAAAGATCTGCAAGTGTGCTTAGCAAACCAGTCAGCAACTAAGCTGGCAATGTTGCTGTTTTGATGTTCGGAACAATATGGCAGCGACAGTAATGCACTAACAGTTAATATGCAACAAGATGAATGTCCCAAATAATTGTAGAGATTCATGATTACATTATCGACAATAACAAGAATTACTTAATTGGGATTTGAAAACTCGTTTTATTTCTACGAATAATTTCTACATCACATGATTGTGAAATGTATATTCATAACTCACCTTCTAACAGAAATGGGTTATACCAAAATGTAGTGGTGATGGGTCACTAACACAGTAGGATTACACCAAAATGTACATGGGGATGATGGGCTTATAACTCATCCTCTAACAGAACTGGGTTGTACCGAAATGTGAATGGGGATGATGGGTAACTCACCCTCTAATTTCTTCTGCGATTCAGCAGATCTTGCATTAGCTAGCTTTGCTTCCAACATGTAGTCCACACCACTGGAGAACAAGCAGAAAAATTATCAACATCATTATATCTAGGTTATAATTTTTAATGACAGACTCTATGTCTTTTTCTCACAGATGAAGCTATGTCACAGAATGTTTCATGTTGCTTAGACAGGCACCACTGTACCATGTATTTTTATGGGCCCTGCATGAGCTGTTGTGGGACGTTTTTTCAAAGAGCTGGTGAAAACAGCTAAAGTAAAGAAAACAGAATAAAATCTACTTTGAGATAATCCTGAACAATCAAATTTAAATCTGTATATGTTGCAAATGTAAGGGAGTCTCAGAAATTAGCTCAAAGTACAATTTGTTGAGAGTTTTGATGTGCAGGGAATATGTCAACATATACAACTAATGGAAATCAAAAATGGATGCTATGAACATTTTCTGAAATTGTCATGTTTTTTCTCTATGACTGGCCATTGGAATGTCTGAGGAAAAAAACTGTGTGTAAATCAAACTAGTTGTGAAATTATGAACCTCAGTTTTAATTATTGCAACCAATTTTCAATTCAAAATGGCCACCATGGTAGGGCAATAGGGTAATCACAAAATCATTGTTTACATGGATATCCTCAGATACTTTCCTACATTACCTTCTTTTTGGAATTTATTTGATTTTAATTTAACGTTTCACAAAATATCAAGAATTTCAAAAGTTTTTTTAAATGTTCCACATTTTCACTACATTTTTTAATATAATTCATCAAACAGATAGTGACACCATTTAACACACACTGACTCGTAAAAAGTCAAAGACAATGTAGTCATAATTATTATATACACGGATGACATTGATTAGAGTGACAAAGTATACATTTTCCGCACTTTGGTGAGAATTGGTGTTATTCAAGCCATTTCATTGGCAAGAATACTAATTCTTATTCTCACAAGTAAAAAAAAAAATGTATTCTTGCTGATTAAATTCTTGTCAAGTAAGTGGTGAGAATAACAATAACACTATCGCAAGTACGAGAAACAGACACCTTCATGCTTGTCTCGCATAGTAAAAGATTAAAAAATAAGTGAATATTGAAAATTATAAATGTATAATGAAGATATTTTCTGTCAAATTGAGATTGACAAAATTGTCGCAGGTTCTTTCTGCATTTGGATATCTGCATCCTGGTTTGTGATGTAACCATGGTAATATGCAAATATCCTATTAACAAGTCATAATTGATATTATTTGATTACCTTTTGAAATAATTGGTATTCTCAACTTGCTCTTCTAGCTTCAGAATCTATGACAAGATAAACAATGACAGAAAATAAACATAACAATGAGAACAACATGTATAAAACAGCCATGAGGGCCACTGTCTGTTTCACTAAGGGGTTGTGCTTCATCCTCTAAAAAAAACTAATTTCTCCCGGAAGACACAGACCAAATGGGAACAGACTTGCGCAAAGAATATTTTCTCTATTAGAAGCACATCTCCAATAGAAGCATGGCGTCCAATTTGCACGGTTTCTCTGTTACATGCACAATCGTTCCATATTTAGAATTAGCATTTCCTAATATGGTAGCATGAAAATACACAGTGCAATACCGCAAAATGTTGGCGCGCTGTAACTTATGGCGTTGCAATGACAGATGTATAATAATATGAAGTTATTACGAGGATACCTTAAAGTATGCACGAAGACAGTACAGCGAGAGTATCGACCGCCGCGCAGTGGAGGTCAATGCGACGGTGTACTGTCTAAGTGCATACTTTGAGGTATCCTCGAAATAACCTTATTATTATACATAGATCTTTTCCTTCCAAGGGTACATCATGGGAATGCTGAAATCCAAACTGTTAAGAACAGAATCAGCAAACTTCTTTGTGTGGAATCCGGTCAAACTATGTTTGTTTTTATTCTTTGAGGATGCTTACATATGTAATCATTCCATATTTGGAATTCGCATTTCCTAATATGATAGGATGAAAATACCTCATAAAATACCGCAAAATTACGGCACACTGTAACTTATGGCATTATGGTGACAGATGTATAATAATACTTATTATGACAAAAGACAAATCTTTATAACCTATGAAAGTGCATATGCTTCTAATAAAAAATGTACAGATGTATTGAATACTGATATCACTCACCATTTGCCTTGCTCCTAGTAGACTCTGCTCTAATTCCTCTGCTCGCATCTTGTATTCAGATGATTGTCTTCTAGAGTGGTTGATCTCTGCCTGAAAATGAATGAAATACAACAATAACAAAACCACAAATGTGTACAAACCATTGGTATATTTTTGCAGTGCATATTGTTACTATGTTAACTGTTCTTATTAGTAAATGTCTATTATAATCATTCATATACATAACTTAATGTGATCTTACTGCATATGTATTACTAAAGATGCTAAGGACTACTTTGGTGGAATAAGATAGGTGGAATAAAATAAAATAAATTAAAATTATGACATATGATTATTATTATTGGACTTCAGGTTTGCATGTTTTTTGGCCCATCAAAAAATTTTCAAGTTAAAAATCATTTCAATACAAAGTGTTAATCATTGTAAAACAATTTTGGCTTAAGGATGATGCATTCGTTAATGAAGCAGTTTGGTGATAAAACGCATACATTATAAAGGTTCAGGCCAAACTGACTTATATTTCAAGTTTGAGATACAAGAGTCAAAAATATCATGGAAAATTGTTAAAATTGGCATTTTACTAAGGTTTCCATGGTGAAATTATTTCTTCAAATCGCAGAATTTTGCTTGGTGATATGAGATCAAAAACTTGTATATTCTTATTGACATGTATTCTAATATTGTTAAAACATTTCATAAAATTGACAAATACTTTAGTCAGTTTACAAGGTAAAATTAGTTTTCCATTATATACAATTCTCTCCCATAATGCAATATATGCAATAACATGCTCAGTAGTGAAGCATCTGAATTTGGCTTGGACTGCCTTACTATAAGACCACATCAATTACTAAGTAAAAACAACAGACATGCAGAACATACCTTATAATCTATAATTTCAGTTTGAATTTTTGCAATTGCAGCTCTCTCAGTCAACAACTGACCTCGTAAATTCATTGATTCGGACTCCACTATGGATAGTAGTTGTTCCATAGCAATTCGTTGACTCTGCTCTTGTTTCAACTGCATCCCGAGCTTGACATGTGCAGGTGTTGAGAACTGATGACAAGTACAACATTCAACATAAATACCATCACTTTGAGTTTGTTGGTCCGAGTAGCTCTTGGTTAGTTCTGAAATACTTGTACCTTCACTTCTCATCTCAACCATGTCAGTCTGAATTCCGGAATCCTCCTTGATTGGTTTTGCTGAGTAGACTATTACAGCATTAGATTTTTTTATCAAATCTGAATTGTCAACAATTTCCGGATTCTTCTCTATGGATATTTCACCATCATCTTTGGGAGCATCATCCGTCCCCTTATCAATTGGAGCCAACACGTCAACAACATGTGTTGCCATGGTAATTGCATCCACTAAACTCTCAACACTTTTGCTTTCATCCTCTCCATTTGTAACACAATGGTGTATCTGGGAATCTGGTTGCCCAATTCCATCATCACTGGTTGCCACAGCAACATATATATTTTCATCAGTGTTCTCCTTTTTGGGGTTCTCATAGGGGAAACCAAAAATGTTTTGACATTCCATAGTATTTAGCCCTCTTCTCATCTTATGTTCATTCTCATCCTTTTCCTCCTTCTCATCTAGTATATATTTACATTGTACAAATCTATTTTCTGCTGCTTCACATCTTTTCAAGAGATCCATACTGACAGCTTCCTGTTTCTCATAAAATAATACCTCAGGTGTGGCATTCTGAAGACTGCGGTATATGGAAGGAGTTCTTTGATTCCCAGCATCACCAAAATTATTTTCCGATTCACTGTGCATTGTGGGAGTTGTATCTCCCTCACAACCAATGACCACGTCCTCCGATAACTCAGAGACATGTGATAAGTCGGGTCTACCCTTTAAATGAATTTCATCTAAACTGCACATTATTTCTGGTGATTCTTCGTCATTTTGAGACGTTTCCCGACATGTCACTAATATTTTTGGTTCTTCATCAGGAGACATATTTTTCTCATCTTCAAAAACATTATCTTCTACAGTTTTATTCCCAGAATGCATCAGAATGTTCAACTCATGATATTTAGTTTCCGCATACTCACATTGTTTCATTTGCATCATTCGTTCAGATTCAATTGTCTCAAAAATTGAAATATCTCTCCTTAAAAGCAGAGGAACAGCAACTTTCAAGTCATCACAAGCTCTCAACTTACTATCTACTGATGCATTTGTCTCATCTTCCACAATGTTTATTCTAATATCATCCTCATATCCCGATAATTTGGTACACTCAGATTTGAGTTCTGGATTTTCATAGCCATTTTTACTTCTCCTGTTTTGCGCTAGATGCTTCTCCGCTATTTGCTCCTGATACAAAGTTTCCATCCTTTCACATTTGTTCATCCATTCCAGATTTTGAGCTTCATTGTTTTCATACCAAACAACTTCATCATTGACATTTTCCATATTTTAAAATGTTCTATTTTAATCTTTATTCACTCTTTCAGGGCTGTTAATTATTTTTTCAATAGCATCTGTAAAATTGGAAAAATTAATACAGGTTGAATTGTTAAATGTACCGTATTTACTCTATTAGCAGCACATATGCTCAAGTGATTGACTGAGGTGAATATGTTCAAAATAAGTTCAGATAATAAAGCAGGCAAAAGGAAACGTGTTAAATGCCCATGGGTGGGGAGACTCTATTCAGATTACCCTAGACACGAAAACATTATTGCATTCAAAATCCCTAGTGTGGATGTACTAGTATTTTTTGTAATCAAATTCTTTCTCTACTACGCGTTACAAAAGACATGTATGTTTCATTCATGGCTATTTTCTACCGCAATCTGTGGGCGTTGGCATTATCTTATATCTAATGAGCAAACTACAATCATGGGCGTCTTTGGTCACGTGTTGTCTTCCTTCGTGACACCGAATGTAAAATTGAAACAATGGCTACCAGTTCACTGCCCAAGTGACTGTTCTAAGTCGTCATTTTCAAATTTCAAGTTTGCATGGTCCCCGCCGGTGCGAGTCGGAGTTGGCAATATTCATGATTCGATCGTCGACTGCCCTCAGAAACAATATTACATGACTATATATACTGACCTTGATTGGATCGTGAAGTAAGTCACCATAACGTTCCATATACCACATGTCACATAGATCAGGGTTCTGTAATATAACCAGGCAATCTTAATCGTGGATCCCGGTCGACGCAGTAGTTTACTTCCGGGAAATCATGTTCATGCCGACCCTCTAGCTTATCTACTACCACAATGCCATACTCCCTATCCTACTCACTATTTGCGTATCAGAATTTTCTTCATCTAATTATACCGGTACTGTAAAATACTATATTTTCGATTGTAATTTATTTTCGCTATTTTTCACAGAAGAGATGACTCAGTGAAAATAAAATCCAGCGAATATATCTTTTTCCTAAATTGTACATACAATTCATCAAAAGTCAGTGAAAATAAAAAAAAAATAATTCCAGCTAAAATAAAGTTTTCCACAGTAGTACACAGTCCGTCTACAAACCGTGTCTTTGTTATGATAATACGCGGGGATAATACCTACTACATTGTAGTTGTGTAATTTCCGTCATGTATTATTGATATGCATGTGTGTCAGTGGCAGAGGACGTAGCGTACGCAGTAATCATATTGCACACAAATATATATTTCGTCCGCAATGTCTCGTTTATACATTTGATTGTTCTTGCAACACTTTGGATTATTTTGTTTTCGCTTGATGTCTAGCTTGCGATCTTTCTTCAAATCGAATCGTCCAGCCACCCCAAGCCATTTCCAACACGTCATGAACTTTGCCCTGTGCGCAAATGGAGAATACAATTTTATGAATGTTCCTCGTCCCGACAAGACGGGCAAAGGCAAGATGGCGGACGACAGTGATGAGTTGCACTACACTGTGTGAAGTGCAAAAGTCCGTAAACTCCATGAACTCTCAGTTTCTTCGAAGAATTTAATAAAGAGTTGAATGCCGAAGCCGTGGAAGTGCATGTTTCTGAACATGACATCGACATCAGCCATCGACTTCCACGTAATCGCGAGCAAGCAACATCAAATACAATCGTTCGTTTCACACGTCAGACGGTTCGCAATCAACTGTACAAGGCGAAGAAAAATATGCACACCAAAACAACATCTGATCTAGGAATCGCGGGACTACGAGACACAAACAACAACATACTAGTACATGTATACATAAATGAACAACTAACTGAGGCAAGAGACTTTTTCACGAAGCCAATATTAAAACGAAAGCAGCAAAAAGAAAATAGTCGGGATCGCTCGCTGTGAAAATCTCGTCCTTGCAAGAGTCATAATACCCATATTCCCCCGAAAATTTTAATTCATTAATTTTTCAAAATACTTGCTTTTTTCTACGTCTGAACATTCGATCCCTCTCAAAACATTACGATGGTTTTGTTACATTTCTCAATATGTTGAATCACATTCACAGCTCTCTGTCATTCAACCACATTAATAATATTCAAATTAAACATTGTGAATCGATCTTTGTGGAATCCATTGTCAATAACAACAGACTCGCCATAGGTGTCAACTACCGAAAATCGAACACCTCTACACATGAATACATTGACAGTTTAGAAGCATGTCTATCCCAGTTGTCAGCTAGTGGTAACAAGTGTATCATCCTCGGTGACGTCAACATTGACACGGCACATAATACCACACATATCTCGCCCTACTCAATGCTTATAATTTCACCCAGATAATCGACACTGCTACACGTGTTTTTCAAAAATCCAGCACAACAATCGACCATTTAGTAACAAATATCACGGATCACTTTATTGAAAGTGGCACGATCCTAACGGACATTAGTGGTAATTGTCCACATTTTTAGTATCCTTAAAAAATTTAAATGTGTCTTTAGACAAAAAAACGATATTTACAAATATCTGTTTATGAATGCTCTGATCCGAATACTGCCTATGCAGAATTTTATGTTAAATTTATTAATGTTTCTATGAAGCATTTTAAAAGGAAAAAAAAATTCTCTAAAAAAAACAAAAAAAAAACGGCTAACTAGAGGACTATTAAAGTCAATCAACTTGAGCACAAAACACAAATTATTTATTAAAATGAAAAATAACCCCGAAGATCTCCAAAATGCACACGAATATAAACAATATAGAAACGTCTTGACTAAGTTGCTAAAGTCGGCTAAAAAGTCTTATTACTCAACAAAATTTGTTGTTACTCGCGGGAACACAAATAAAACATGGCAGGTTATAAATGAGGTCCTAAATAAAACAAAAACAAAGTCAGCCCCCATGAATTAAATTCATCCAACGACAAACCCTTAACGAAAAGTTCTGATATCGGTGAAGAATTTAATAAATATTTCACAAATATTGGCCCGAGCCTTGCCACTAGTATAACGAACACGGGTGATTTCGACAATATCTCACCGGGAGTCAAAGTAACCTAACGTTATTTTTCCACCCAGTAGTAAGTGAGTCTGAAGTTTTCAATCAAATCAAATCCCTTAATCCCAATAAATCGGCAGGACATGACGAAATACACCCTAAAACATTAATTCATTCAGCTAAAATTATTGCCCGATCCATTGCTCACATTATCAATAGTTTGTTAAGCCAAGATGTTTTTCTTGGTGACTTAAAAATTGCTAAGATTACACCCATTTATAAAAAAAGGTACTCCAGCAGAGGCCAGTAACTATCGCCCTATTTCAATCCTACCAATCCTTAGCAAAATATTTTAATCGACTGTGAATAAACAATTTATAAGTTTCCTTGAAAAAAATCACATACTTTCAATCACGCAATTTGGTTTTCGCAAAAAAACATAACACTAAACTCGCCCTAGCTGACCTGGTCACCAACATCGCAGATAACATGGACACTGGCTGCATTACTTTCAGAATTTTTATCGACCTGAAAAAACAATTTGATACAATTAATCACAAAATCTTACATACAATATGGTATCAGAGGTTTTCCGTTAGAATGGTATGAAAACTACCTTTCCAACCGACAATAATCAGTCAATATTGACAACATACTATCTTCTTTCAACGAAATAAAGTGTGGAGTTCCACAAAAATCGATTTTAGGCCCTATTTTATTTCTAGCTTATATCAATGATATTATAAGTTCCAGCGATGTTTTCGATTTTCGTCTTTTTGCAGACGACACAACTCAGTTTAAATCTGTAAAAGACAACATACTCTATTTCTCTGACATTAATGACGAATTCCAGAAAGTCTGTGAATGGTGTAATGCTAACCAACTTACTATTAACACACACAAAACAAACTACATGATTATAAAGTCACCACAAAGAACAGTCACTACAGAGGGCAGTTTGGTCATTAATGGGTCACCAATAGAGGGCGTTCGTTCTACACAGTCTTTAGGCGTGACAATTGACAGTAATTTAACGTGGAAACCTCATATAGATTTACTAACTAAATTAATCTCCAGGAAAGTGGGTATTATCTCACAGATTCGGCATTATGTTCTAAGATCAATTCTTCTTCTTCTGTATAATTCCTTAACACCCCCCCCCCATTTCTTACTGTTTAGAGATTTGGGGGAACGCATACTCGTCCTTCCTTGAACCAATCTTGCGCCTCCAAAAAAAAAGTCGTAAATATCATCACATTCTCCGACATTCATGCTCACACTGCCCCCTTGTTTAAAAAAATGGAATATTAGATGTTTACAAGTTATGTAAGTTTTAAACATGTCTATTTGTTTTTGATCTAAAAAATAGTCGTTTTGCACATGCAATAAATCATTATCTGGACCCAATACCCCACAATTATGCAACACGTCTAGCAATGGCTGATAGTTTTTATATCCCCAAAATAAATCTAACTTTATGCCAAAAAACAAAACAAAAAACAATTAAATTTACTGCAACACACCATTGGAATTCCCTTCCTAGTAAATATATATATATATATATATATATATATATATATATATATATATATATATATATATATATTTTCACTGTCACTCTTCTGACTTTGTATGATTAAGTTTTTTTTCTCCAAGTAATTGACAAATTGACAAAATGCTTCAATCAGTTTATTTTCTTTCATCTCTTTTGTTAATTTAAGACTTTGAATCTATTCAATAATTTAAATGTACAACTACGTACCTGTATATAACTTATTAATATTATTATTTACTGTTTATTTTGTTCATTATTTGTAAAGGGTCATGGACTAGACTAGTTCTAGGGAACTATTTTCATGATCCTCAATATAAACAATTTATATAAATATATATATATATTTAAAATTCAAATTATAGACTTATTTACTTAATTTTATTTACTCATTTCTTTATATATCACATTTATTTGTATATTATTAGATCTGTTTAATTCGTTTAAAAGATTCCTCTCATTAGTAAATAGCGCCCTCACTCAACAATA